TACGTCGACTCAACCCCTCTTAAATAACTGCTAAAGATAACCCAGAAATTCGCTAGATTTGGTGTCATTTCCGCTAAGTTGGCAACACTGAGCCGCCTCCTCCTCAACCTTTAAAGACGGTTTCATTTATGTCAATATTGGTAGGGCTGTTGAAGACCTGACCTGACCTGACCTGACCTGACCTGATGGAAAATGAGTATCTTCAATATATATTCTTATTATTAAGTAAATTTATTCGTAAAATCATTAGACACCATTTTTGACGTATTTTCTCAAGTTACGACGAAAAAAAGATGGATTCTCTAAGGATTCTTGCATAACTTACGATAGATAGATGGATATATAGATAAGTAGATAGATAGATAGATAGATAGATAAGATAGATATAGATAGATAGATAAAGCAGAAGCCAGATGATGATGATTAGTATAACGACACACACACACACACACACACACACAAACACACACACACACACACACACACACACACACACACACACACACACACACTTTCAACCACCTCCTCTCCTCCACACACACACACACACACACACACACACACACCTCCATAATTTTCCCCAATTTACTAATACAATTATAAATGTCTCATACAAAACTCACAATGGTAATTTGTTTCAGGGGCCTAATAAGAGTAATTAAGTGAGTAATGGGCTGGTGTGAGGGGAGGGGGAGAGGAGGGGTGAGGAAGAGGGAGGAGGGGAGGTGAGGGGAGGTGAGGAAGGAGGAGGAAGAGGAGGAGGAAGGGAGGTGAGGAGGTAGGAGAATGGTAGTTAAGAGGTGTAATGGCTGTAATTTGGGACATCACAGTTGACATTATAGCAGCTGACATTACCCTCGACGCTGTATGTAAACGTGTGTGTGTGTGTGTGTGTGCGTGTGTAAGACCACCACCTACACAAAGCTCTAAAGTACATCATTATATACTCACACTGAACCTCCAGACCCCTCCCTTCTCTACCCCTTCTCCCCTTTCTCTCTTCCCTCTCCCCACTTGGTAGAGGTAGGCATCTAGGGGGTAGGAAGAGGTTATTGTGTCGTTAATTGAAAGCTGCAAATTGGGAGAAGAAGGGGAGGAGGGATGATATTAACTGTAACCTTGGAGAATATGTGTTGGTGGTGGGGTGGTGGTGGCAGATGGTATACTCTCTCTCTCTCACTGGACAACGTTACCCAGACGGCTGCTTCCCCATCTACTAACCTAATGAACACGTCTATACTGATACCTCTCCCTGTGTGTGTGTGTGTGTGTGTGTGTGTGTGTGTGTGTGTGTGTGTGGAGCTTTGAGGACGCAGGTGTGATCCCTTGAACCTTTTCTTTACATAACTTATTCAATATATAAGTTTGGGGGGAAGACGATGCAGAAAACGGTGGTTAGGTTATAGGAGAGACTCAACTATTTTGGTGGTTAGTCTTTCTTTATCTCTCTATCTCTCTTTATCTCTCTCTATCTCTCTCTCTCTTTATCTTTCTCTATCTTACTTTCTGTGTCTTTTTCTATTCTTCTTTGTAGGTCTATTCGTTTTTTTTTTCTTTCTTTTTTCTTTCCTTTAAATATCAACCTTTCCCATTTTTAATCTCTCTCTTCCTCTTCCTTCCTCTCTTTCTCATTTGCAAATAGATAGATAGATAGATAGATAGATAGATAGACAGACAGACAGACAGACAGACAGATAGAGTTAAATATATAGCATTAATATTAATATCCTTCCCAAATTGACTTAATGAGACATGACGAAGGTAATTTAAACAAAGGTCAATTGTCAAAGTTATTTACAAGATTAATAAAAAAAAAAGTTAAAAAGGTTTGGTAGAAAATTGGAACTTTTTTTTTTAATCTTCATTAAAAGTTGAGGTGATTAGTTTTTGGTCTAATTATGATATTTTTTGGGGGGTGAGGGGTGGGACCTGTGTGTGTGTGTGTGTGTGTGTGTGTGTGTGTGTGTGTGTGTGTGTGTGTGTGTGTGTGTGTGTGTGTTTTTCTTGAGCTAATTATAGAAGAGATTGTAGGAAAGAAGCTGGACGATTGAAAATTTCTCTCTCTCTTCTTCTCTTTTTTTTATCTGTCTTCCTTAATATTCTCTTCCTATCTCATCTCTTTATCAATTATTTATCCTCGATCTAATATTATAGGAGTGACTGACATTCATTCAACATACTCCGCGAGGCTGCACTGACCAATAACAACACCGATTAGTCCCTCCCCCACACACTGACCAATAACAACACCGATTAGTCTCTCCCCACACCACCGACCAATAACACCGATTGGCCCTCCACACACACTGACCACAACAACACCGATTAGCCCTCTCCCCCACACACACACTCCTGACTTCAATAACAACACTGATTAGTCTCCACACACACTGACCAATAACAACACCGATTGGCCCCTCCCCACACACACTGACTCAATAACAACACCGATTAGTTCTCCCCACACACACACCTGACCAATAATACCGATTACAGTCTCTCCCCACACTGGACCACAATAACAAATTTGATTAGCCTCCCCACACACACACTGACCAATAACACCGATTAGTCTCCTCCCCCCACACACACACCGACCACAACAACACCGATTAGTCTCTTCCCCACACACCGGACCAATAACAACACCATTAGTCTCTCCCCACACAATAACACCAATAACAACACTGATTAGTCCTCCACACAACAACAATTCTGATTAGTCTCTCTCCCCACACACAATCACTGACCCTAATAACAACACCGCTGATTAGTCTCTCCTACACACTGACCAATAACAAATTGATTAGTCTCTCTCCCCACACACACTAATAGAATAACACTGATTTTAGTCTCCCCACACACTGACCAATAACAACAACACTGATTAGTCTCCTGGCCACACTGACTGCTAGTCAACAACACTGATTAGTTCTCCCCTGCACACACAATTGGGACCAATAACAACACCTGATTAGTCTTCTCCCCACACACTGACCAATAACAACACTGATTAGTCTCCCCACACACACACACCTCCTAGACCACACAACAACACCGATTAGTCTCCCCACACACACTGACCAATAACAACAACACTGATTAGTCTCCCCTACACACACTGACCAATAACAACACTGATTAGTCTCTCTCCCCACACACACTGACCAATAACACCGATTAGTCTCCCCCACACACACTGACCAATAACACCCGATTAGTCTCCCCACACACACTGACCAATAACAACACCGATTAGTCTCCCTCCTCCCTCTCACACACATGAGAAAAATTATCGTGTTTGGTGGAAGAAACTCCATATGGATTGCAAGAACCTGAATTAATGCAAATACAACCTGAATTAAGGTAATAGCGTAGTGATGACGTCATATGGGTACAGTGTACTTGTCTCCTACTACACCTACTACACCCTACTACACCCTACTACACCCTACTACATCCTACTACACCCTCATTACACCCTACTACACCCTACGTATGTACACCAACAACACCAACATATATATAGAGATACACCTTAGCTTTTACACCCTTTACACGATAACTTATATTAACACTTCCACCTACACTTACACTCTATACTTATATTTTATACTTACACCTACACACTACACCCACACTACACCTACACCCACACACTCACACTACGCCTACACACACACCAGACTACACCCACACCACACCTACACCTCACACACCACACACTCACACCACACCCACACCACACCCACACCTACACCTCACACTACACCCACACCACACCCACACCTACACACCCCACACACTTACACACTACACCCACACACACCCACACCTACACACTCAGACTACACCCACACTACACACCTACACCTACACACCACACACTCTACACACCACACCCACAGCACACCCACACCCACACACCACACTACGCCCACACTGCACCTGCACCTACACACTACACACCCCACACTACACCCACACCACACCCACACCTACACACCACACCACGCCCACACCTGCACCTACACACACAACCACACCACACCCACACCCACACACCCACACCACGCCCACACCACACCCACACCTACACACCACCCACACCACACCCACACCCACACCTCACACCACGCCCACACTACACCTACACCCACACTACACCCACACCACACCCACACCTACACACTCACACACACACACCACACCCACACCCCACACACCACACACCACACCCACACACTCACACTACGCCCACACTACACCCCACACACTACACCCACACCACACACCCACACCCCTCACACCACACTACGCCCACACCACACTCACACACACACACACACACCACACCCACACCACACCCACACCTACACCTCACACTACGCCCACACACGCCCACACTCACCTCACTACACACCTCCACTTAGTCAGTCCATGTTAAGGAAGATCTTATTACTTCCCAAGAGGACTGAACAATAGTCATTATCCCACAGCCAGACCTTTATAAACGAGTTGTGTACACGATATGGTAGTCTCTCTCTCTCTCTCTCTCTCGTTTCTCTATCTCTATTTTAATTTTCTTCCTCTTAATTTTATCTCTCTCTCTCTCTCTCAGTTCATTTCTCTCTCATCTCTTCTCTCCTACACTTTCTATATACCTCATTGGTTTTGATCCTTAGAGAGAGAGAGCCTGTCTATTGAGTTAAGACAGAAATTAGGCCCAATTGACTCCATTACTCAATACACTTAAGGACATTTGGGAAGGAGGAACCACTCAAGTCTCTGGCGTGAGTGTATCTTTATCCCAAGTTAGGCCGGTTAGTAGACAGACCCAAGTGCTTAAGTAAGTTAGATGAGGATGGTAAGGAGTCTGGTCTGTCTGTTCATCTGTCTGTCTGTCTGTATGTCTGTATGTCTGGTCTGTTTCTATTCCTTGTAAATCTCTCTCAATCTCTCTTCACCACCTAACAGCCCTCTCTCTCTCTCTCACACAGCAAGCATGGAGAACAGTCGGCTCGTCCTCCTAGGGTGTCTGGTAGTATTGGTCTCCGCCCTGGTCTCCGTGACAGCTTTTAACCAAGACCGAGTTATCCAGAAATGGTCTCCACTCTGGTTCCAGAATCACTACAGCAGCGGTCATCTGTATAAGAGGGTGAGCTAACTCTAATATTATCTCTCTCTCTCTCTCTCTCTCTCTCTCTCTCTCTCTTCTCTCTCTCTCTCTCATCTCTCTCTCTTCTCTGTCTCTTCTTCAGCAAGTGGGTAGACAAACATTTTCTCTCTCTCTCTCTTCTCTCTCTCTCTCTCTCTCATGCGATCTTCTGTATATGCTATCCCTTAGAGAGAGAGAAGAGGAAGCTGTGTTAATGTTTGTCTAACCTCTTGACGCCATATTGTTCTTGGACGGGAAATAATTCAGGGTTTATTGACATTGTTTCTTCATTTTCCTCAGTCCTGCCATTTTGATCGTGATATATCTCTCTCTCTCTCTCTCACTTTCTTTCTTTCTTTCTCTTTATGAACGTATGTATGTATGTATGTATGTAAGGACAACACTAGAATTATACACAGACAAAAGATCATTTAGAGAGAGAGAGAGAGAGAGAGAAAGAAGAAGAATGGGCAAAAGTCAGTAAAAGAAGGAAACCAAAGAGAGAGAAAAGGAGGGGTGAAGAAGAAGAGTGATGGTAATAATGGCAGGAGACGCTAATAATACCTTGGATAAATTAGGTGGAACATATTGGACACCATCACCCTACTGAGGTTATATTTGAGAGTGGGAGAGTGTGGGTGGCTTAGTGGGTTGGGTGTGGTGGCTTAGTGGGTTGGGTGTAGGTGGCTTAGTGGGTTGGGTGTGGGTGGCTTAGTGGGTTAGGTGTGGGTGGCTTAGTGGGTTAGGTGTGGCTGGCTTAGTGGGTTAGGTGTGGGTAGCTTAATGGATACGTATGGGTACTGCAGTGACTTAACCTTTTCCTGCTAAAACCCCACCAGAATTTTTCCCGCCAAAACTCACCACCAAAAAAATTTCCCGCCAAAACTCACCCCCAAAAAAATTTCCCGCCAAAACCACACTAAACCTTGAAGAAAATCAATTCTTTTAAGCCTTAACCCAAATATTCCCGGCAATTTCCAGCCCAGCTATTATTGTCTCCACCCACGAGCGCTCTGTACCAAAATTCATAATCAACTATGAACTTCCCGCTATGCATGTTAGGAATTTTTTTAATTTGCTGGGAAATGTTTGGTATGTTGTGTTGGCTATATGATGTTCGTCCTGTGGTCTTAGGTATCGGAGACTAGAATCGTGATTTTTTTTTTTTTTTGTGATCTTGAAACCAAAAAATCGTTTCAGATAGAACAAAATTATAGGGATGGATACAAGTACAGGTATAGACAAGGAGAGAGAGAGAGAGAGAGAGAGGTTATTTAAAGAATCATTTCACTATTTCAAACTTAACAAGATCCTGTGTGTGTGTGTGTGTGTGTGTGTGTCTGTTTAAATCCTTAAAATGAATCTTAAAACCAATAAAAAAAATGCATATGACCTCCTTAATTGGCCCTAGTTATTGACCTCTTTAACGACTGAACTATTAAATCACCATCTCTCTTTACAACAGTTCCGTGATGAGCCAATCCCAAAGTGGAGTCCAACTTATTTTGACAACTCCGGCCTCTACTACGACCAGAAGAGGGTGAGGACTCATCAAATTCTTTAATATTTTTACTTCATTCTCTCGTTCTTGATCACCTGAAGATTAGACACCCTAACCTAACCTAATCTAACCAAATCAAACATAACCTAACCAAACCTAACCTAACCTAATCTAACCAAATCTAACCTAACCTAACCTAACCTAACCAAATCTAACCAAACCTAATCTAACCTAATCTAACCAAATCTAACCAAACCTAACCTAACCTAACCTAACCTAACCTAACCTAACCAAACCTAACCTAACCTAACCTAACCAAATCTAACATAACCTATACATAAAACAATTTCATCTTATTAATGTTGTTATTTCTTACGTTCTTAGTAAAGTTATCATTTTTTCATTAAAAGTTGAGGGTAAAAAAGAATGTTTACTCGCGAACATTTCAGAATCTTCACTACAGGGGGTTGCACAGGGTAAGTTAAAAATAATGTAGTACAGTTTTTTTTTTATATTTCTACATTGAAAATTTGTTTGGTCACCCTGTATGTATATGAATATGTATTTGTTTTACTCTCTCTCTCTGTCTCTCTCTCTCTCTTTGATCTCTTCCCCCTCTCACTCTCTCTCTTACTCTCTCTCTTTGATCCTTCCCCACCTCTCCTCCTCCCTCTCTCACCCCGGTATAAGAATTCACTATCAAGGTTCATTAGTGTAACCTGGCGTGTTGTGGCCTTTCCTCCCCCCTTTTCTCCTCCTCCCTCCTCTTCCTTCTTTCTCCCTCCTCTCTTCTTCCCTCCCTCCTCTTCCTTTCCTCTCTCTCTCCTCCTCTCCCCTACTTTCCCCTAACTTTTCACCTTCACCTCTCTCATTCACACCCATCTGTCCCCCTGTCTCACACACTTCCGTCACATCACAGGAATTCAGTGGATGTGGACGGGAGAACTCACTCTGTATGTTCGCGAGCAGTGTGACGGGTGAGGTGATGTCTGTCAGGTGTTGTGGAGCTCTTCAGTGTCTGTCTACCGGCTCCTCCCACACCTGTGTTGAACCCAAGTGAGTATACAGGTGTAACTACAGGTGCAACTACAGGTGTTAGTAAAGAAGGTGTGTTTTTTATCATGTACCTGTGTCGATCCTAATTAAACACAGGTAACGGTACAGAAGTCAATGCAGGTGTTTTAATTGGGTGTGTTTCTCATGCATCTGTACAGGTGTTGGTAGAGTGATTAGGGAAGATTAGAGCACAGGTGTTTCATTAAGTGTGCGTGTTTGGGGTGGGGTGGGTGATAACAAGATAGCGGGGAAAATTACTGAATATAATAACTAGGATCTAATGAGGTCAATATGTCGGGTTAATTAGGTTGTTGCGAGGTCTCATTTACCTCAGGACCGTCCCATTAACCGTGATTGATTTTCTCAGAGGTTTGCCCTGAGAAAACACTCCCCTCCCCCCACCCCACACACAAACACCTACACACTCCTCCCACCACATCTATATATCCTCTAAAACACACACACACACACACACACACACACACACACACACACACACACACACACACACACACACACATACACACACACACACACACACACACACACACACACACACACACACACTCACACACTTATATATATTCTTGTACTTTCAGATCGCTGCCTATGGATAATGTGGATCTTGATGAGATGGAAATTTAGACTACTGGAGAGACCTTCACTTAACAGCAGAGACCTTCACTTAACAGCAGAGACCTTCACTTAACAGCAGAGACCTTCACTTAACAGTAGAGACCTTCACTTAACAGCAGAGACCTTCACTTAACAACAGGGGCCTTCACTTAATAACAGAGACCTTCGCTTAACAACAGGAGCCTTCACTTAATAACAGAGACCTTCACTTAACAGTAGAGACCTTCACTTAACAGCAGAGACCTTCACTTAACAACAGAAACCTTCACTTAACAACAGAGACCTTCACTTAACAACAGAGACCTTCACTTAATAACAGAGACCTTCACTTAACAGTAGAGACCTTCACTTAACAACAGAGACCTTCACTTAACAACAGAAACCTTCACTTAACAACAGAGACCTTTCACTTAATAACATAGACCTCACTTAACAGTAGAGACCTTCGGTAACAAACAGAGACCTTCACTTAACAACAGAGACCTCACTTAACAACAGAGACCTTCACTTAACAACAGAGACCTTCACTTGACAACAGAGACCTTCACTTAACAACAGAAACCTTCACTTAACAACAGAGACCTTCACTTAACAACAGAGACCTTCACTTAACAACAGAGACCTTCACTTAACAACAGAGACCTTCATTTAACAACAGAGACCTTCACTTGACAACAGAGACCTTCACTTAACAACAGAAACCTTCACTTAACAACAGAGACCTTCACTTAACAACAGAGACCTTCACTTAACAACAGAAACCTTCACTTAACAACAGAGACCTTCACTTAATAACAGAGACCTTCACTTAACAACAGAAACCTTCACTTAACAACAAAGACCTTCACTTAACAGGAATAAACTCTACTCACAACAGGAAAAAACTCTACTCACAACAAAAATATACTCTACTGATAAGAGGAAGAATCTTTTACAATGAAACTTTACGAGTTAACGAAAGGTAAATAAAATGTTTTACAATTTACAAGAGGAGTCATTTACAGGAGGACTAATTTACAGTTTACAAGGGAGGAATAAAGAAGAGGAGAGAGTAAAGGCAAGGAGGTGGAGACGTAGTGAGGAATGGAGAGAAGAGTAGAGAGAAGAGGAGAATATATGGAGGGAAGGAGAAGTAGAATAAGAGAAGGAATAGGGGTAGAGAGGTGTGGTTGTGAAGGAAATGGCAGAGATGATAAGAAAAGAGGAAGGAAAAAAGCAAGGAAGATAGAAAGGGACGAGGAATAAAGGAAGAAAGGAAAAGGAAGAAAGGAGACTGAAAGGAAGGAACGAAGGAATGAAGAAATGAAAACAGGAAGAATTACCCCAAATAAACAATAAACATGAAATTACGAAAACAATAACAAGAAACAAATTCAAAACAACATTTCAAAGGGTTTATTTACTCTAAGTTATATGAAAAAAATAACTATCCCATAATACAAAAAAAAATAACCAAAATTATAATAGAAAATTACGGTATATAATAATAATAATAATAAATACATTATTAAATCGTAATCTTATGGTTAGGGAAAAATGTTTAAAAATGTTAATATATGTATCGATGACTTAAGACATTCTTTAGCTCTGTGTGTGTGATATAAAAAGATGTATGACTGACATTCTTACTTTAGCATTCTACCTCAGATGTCTTTTAATAATAATCTTGAACCTTAAGTGATTTTTTGATCTTAGGAGAAATTTTACCGTGTTATAATAGTATGAAAAATTCGTTTAAATTATAGATTATATGGGTATTATGATTATATTTTCGGGTTATATTTAAAAAAAAAAAAGAATTATATTTACAATCTCTCTGTAGTGTTTAGTCGTCTACGGTACCTTGAATTATATGGGTAATCCCTTAATGAGTAGTTTTATATTTATTTTATCTAGAAGATTTAAATTATATATACAGTAAATTATAGTTATTTCTCTTATAAATTATAGGAATTATTTGGTATTTTTAGATAATTATTATATCGTTCCTCTTTGGTCAATGCTATCATGATTTATATTGATGGTCCCTCGTTTATTTTCATTCTCAGCCAATCAGAAAAGCGCAGTTGGGGAAATTCTAGATATGAGGGTATAACGTGTGCTGATTGGTTCATACTCACTATGACGTCAGTTTATGCCCCTCCCACTACTCCCATAGCACGAAGCCTTATCTAATGGGAGGCAGGATAGTAGTCATTATTTTTATCAGTTATGGAGTCTTTTTCTGTCTGTCTTTCTGTCTCTCTATTCGTCTATCTAATTTTATGTTTGTCTGTCTCTCATTCAGTCTTTCTTTATCTCACTATTTCTCACTTTGTCTCATTTTATTTGATTGCATGTTATTCTATTTTTGGTCTCTCTCTCTCTCTCTCTCTCTCTCTCTCTCTCTCTCTCTCTCTCTCTCTCTCTGTGTCTCTCTTTAATTTCTCTCTCTCTCGCTCTCTCCTATTCATTCAGTTTACAATAGTTAAGGACAAAACCAAGATCGTTTTCTGTCGTTAGATGTTACGTCACTTAACCACAAACTTAACTAAACAGACGTGTAATATTCTCCTGATGATGTTCTTTATAATATATTTCTGAGAGTAGCTAATTCACCGGCTGGAACCTAATCTAACCTAATCAACCCTAACTTAACCTAGCCATAGCCAAACTTAAACTAGCCATAGCCTAACTTAACCTAACTTAACCTAAACTAACCTACCCTTACTTAACATGCCCTAAGCTAATTCCCTGCCCCAAATCTAACTTAAACTATCCATAGCTTAACCTAACATAGCCTTAACCTAACCTAACCTAACCTAACCTAAATCATCCCGGTTAACAATGGAAAATCCCAGTTTGTTTACAAGTCCGGTGTTAAAACGTTGTTCAATCTTTCTATGTATATAAAAAAAATACCTATATGTTTATTATTAAGAATACATACATACATACATACATACATACATACATACACACATACATTCATACATACATACATACATTAATATGAAAAATTTATTTATTGATGTAATATTATGTAAGAAGATTATTTTTTTCTAAAATTAAGAATAAGTAGCCTTTAGTAGAGTTTATTTTCAAAGGAATAAATGATAGATTAAATCGGCCCCAATCCTAACATTAACCACAGCTACCCAATCCTAACCTAACCACAAGTGTACACTCATAGTCTCAACCACAGAAAAACCCTAATCTAAGTATAACCACATAGGAAACCTAATCTTGAACTTAACCACAAGACTCCAATCCTACCGTTAGCCACAGCAACCCATCCCTAACCTTAATCACAGGTCCCAATTGTGACCTTAATTTAACCACAAAGCTCCAATCCTACCGTTAACCACAGCAGCCCATCCCTAACCTTAATCACAGCTACCCAATCGTGACCTTAATTTAACCACAAGACTCCAATCCTACCGTTAACCACAGCAACCCAATCCTAACTTTAACTTCACCACAAGATTCCAATCCTAGTCTTAACCACAGCAACCCATCCCTAACCTTAATCACATGTCCCAATCCGCGTAGCCTCTAGTCCAGACATGTAGTGGAGGTTATGGTAAATTATGGCCTATTAGTACGGGGCCAATTTACTCTTAGTTAAAATCACTAGACCAAATTTTCTCCATATATACAATTTGTATTTCCATGAGTTCTATAAATTGTGTTTCTGTGTGTGTGTGTGTGTGTGTGTGTGTGTGTGTGTGTGTGTGTCTTTGTCTATCAGGGTCCATTTAACTTTTAATCTGTATTCAACAATTTCCTCTGAACGCTTCGAATTGTCCTCATTAATGACTGTCTGGAATCTATTTATTAAACTGATATTAATATTCGTCTTTGTCTCATTTCTGGTGGGAAAACCTATTGTGCCTATCGTTGTGTATGGTCTACCTTAGTGTTGGCGAGTTTTTCCTCCTCTCTCCATCTCCTTCCGCATTCCTCTACACCTCCTTCCTCTTCGTCTCCTTCCCCCCTGCCCTCACCCTTTACCATTCCTCTTCCCCCTCAAGGTACTTCAGTTCCCCCTGTACTAACACTGGACAATATATTTCACAACAAACTAGAGTATTATTTTAGAGAAATAATAAAGAAATACAATCGTAAATAACAAAACAAAAAGTACTGCAGTCATTTAAAATTAAATAGTGACCCATAAACAATATTCATTTTCTTTTAATACCAAAACAAAGAAAACGTAAAATATAATATGACATACTTAAGAAATATTCATATCACGACATATTACCACAACCTGACTTTAGATTATGTCAAGTAATTCCTGTTCTTACATTTGCTTACTCAGCTTTGGCAAAATATAATTTTCAACAAGATCTTATTTACCACCCAGATGTTGGCAGTACCGAGGTAACGTGTTTATCTCACCACCGCGTCCCAGGTTTAGTTCCCAGGTCGAATACGAGGAGGGTGTTGTCCAGTGTGAACCAACCAGACAAGTTTTCCGTTAGGTATTCCACCATCTTCTTATATTAATTCCGGATATTAAAGGAAAAATTAACTCACCAGGAACAAAGACGGGGAACAAGACCAGCCAACGAATACCTTCCCACGTCAAAAAAAAAAAATAGTACAATACAATTAACCTTCTATTTCTGACTTCAAAATATCACCAACGAGATATCATTTCTTATAACTGTAAGTATTCTGTACTCACACAAGTCTTACTGCACCTACAGCTCCTCCTCAATGTTTATACGTTATGCCCGAGCGGTTAGTATGTAGTGGATTTCTCCCCTACAAACGCTGTTTATCGCTGAGTAGCCGACCCCGCGAATTCCACAGTGTGTGCCTCGTGGTCTGGGTCAACCAGCGCCGCCCACGGAGCGGGGGTCAACTATTAAGCCACGCCTACCTCCGCTATTTAAGACCTGACCTCGTGGTGACCTCTCTCTTCTTCGAGCTACAGCCGCAGCAAGCTACACCACCTCCTCCGCCGCTGCCTGGCGGCCCTCGCTCCCGCCGGCGAGCATGGCGACCCACAAGCTGTCCTCCTCTGAGCACCCTCACCAACCAGCTCTCTCTACATCACACTTGTAACCATGCTGCCTTCCCAGCACCAAGCTGCATTGTACATCCAATACAACATGTATACAGAGAGCACATTGTGAGTTTCCTTTCTCCATCCCATCCTGAGTGTGAACCCAAACAAACGTACCCCACAAGTATAATAAACTCAACATAACAAAGAAGAGAAAGTAGAATATCTTAGAATGATACTCTTAGTACGGGCCACACTCACCAGAGGGCACCAGTGACGTCTACCTACTCCGGGTCTTGTGTGAAGGAGGAGAAAGGGGATGGGTGATGGTGGCAACTTCAGTAGTCGGAATTTAATTTATTATTTTGTTACTCTAAGAATCATTTTTTACCCCTGGTGATTATATATGTATTTCTATCAATCATAACTAACAAATTGATATGTGGATTTTCTATTATTATGTGTTTCAGTGTTATATAATCTTCAAAATGTTTATGATTTAGGTAAGGTTAGGTGTCGGATCTTAATGCTATTCCTTTGTGCCTCGTTCAACCACCTAGCTGTTATTTATCTCAATATTTCCTCCCTATTTTAAATAGTCCTCAGCTGGAGAGGAAAATCCGTTATATCGAGGGTTTACATAAGAACATAAGAAAATAAGGAGTCTGCAATAGGCCGGTTGGCCTGTGCATGGCAGCTCCTGTCGAGAGTTACTACCACTCTCTATCATCCATGAATCTATCCAGCCTCCTTTTGAAACTTTCCAGCGTTCCAGCACTTACTACAAAGTTGCTAAGCTTGTTCCACTCGTCCACCACCCTATTTGTGAACCAGTTTCTTCCTATCTCCCTCCTAAACCTTAACTTATCCAACTTGAATCCGTTCCTCCGAGTCCTATCCTGCTCGGATATTATAAGAACTTTATCTATATCCCCTTTATTGATTCCTTTCACCCACTTAAATACTTCTATCATATCTCCCCGCACTCTTCGTCTTTCTAGGGAATGCAAGTTAAGTTTCTTTAACCTATCCTGATATGGAAGGTTTCTAAGTCCCGGAATCATTTTTGTCATTCTTCGCTGCACCGACTCTAGTGAATTTATATCCATTCTATAATAGGGGCACCAGAACTGAACCGCATAATCGAGGTGCGGCCTGACTAGCGCAAGATATAGTTGCAATAAGACCTCTGCACTCTTGTTACTTACACTTCTAGATATAAAACCCAATACTCTGTTTGCCTTATTTCGAACATTAACGCACTGTTTTCTAGGCCGTAGGTCCGGGCTTACAAGTACCCCTAGGTCTCTTTCACAAGTCGACTTCTCTAGGTTGATGTTGTTAAGGCTGTATACATTATAAGTATTTGTTCTTCCAATATTAAGTACGCTGCGCTTGCTGGTGTTGAATTTCATTTGCCATTTTTCAGACCACCCCTGCAGTTTATTTAGATCCTCCTGTAACGCATTTGCATCCTGCCCTGAATTAATTTGCTGCCCTATTTTGGTGTCATCCGCAAACTTGCTTATGTCACTGCTGATCTCAGTATCTAAATCGTTTATGTAGATTATGAACAAGAGTGGGCCTAGTACTGACCCCTGGGGAACCCCACTGGTTACACGGCCCCACTCAGATTTAACACCATCTACGCTGACCCTCTGAGTTCTATCGGTGAGCCATGATTTTATCCAATTTAAAACTTGTTAGATGTGAATCCTCCACCTAACGAAATATAGAGGAAAATCCGTTATATAGAGTCAATTAGCTATGAAATCCCTCATCTAACGAACCATAGAGGAAAATCCATTATATCGAGAGTCCGTTAGATATGAAATCCCCCCTCTAACGGATTATATGGAGAGAGAGAGAGAGAGAGAGAGAGAGAGAGAGAGGGGGGTAACACTGTACAGGCATCCGTTATAAACGTATCTTAAAACATTTCAATTTTTGTTTTTATTCTTATGAGTCAATGGGTTATCATTATCCCCCCCCCCCTCTGTGCGTCTAGTGGTGTGTGCGTCTAGTGGTGTGTGTGTGTGTCTAGTGGTATGTACATCTAGTAGTCTATACGTCTAGTGGTCTGTACATCTAGTGGTCTATACGTCTAGTGGTCTGTACATCTAGTGGTCTATACGTCTAGTGGTCTGTACGTCTAGTGGTCTGTACATCTAGTGGTCTGTACATCTAGTGGTCTACGTCTAGTGGTCTGTACATCTAGTGGTCTATACGTCTAGTGGTCTGTACGTCTAGTGGTCTGTACATCTAGTGGTCTGTACATCTAGTGGTCTATACGTCTAGTGGTCTGGTACATCTAGTGGGTACATCTAGTGGTTCTTACATGCCTAGTGGTCTGTACATCTAGTGGTCTGTACATCTAGTGGTTGTACATTCAGTGGTCTATACGTCTAGTGGTTCGTACATTAGTGGGTCTGTACATCTAGTGGTCTGTACATCTAGTGGTCTGTGCATCTAGTGGTCTGTACATCTAGTGGTCTATATGTCTAGTGGTTCGCATCTAGTGGTTCATCTAGTGGTCTATATGTCTAGTGGTCTGTACATCTAGTGGTCTGTACATCTAGTGGTCTGTACATCTAGTGGTCTATACGTTCAGTGGTCTGTACATCTAGTGGTCTATACGTCTAGTGGCTGTCTGTACATCTAGTGGTCTATATGTCTAGTGGTCTGTACATTAGTGGTCTATATGTCTAGTGGTCTGTACATCTAGTGGTCTATATGTCTAGTGGTCAGTACATCTAGTGTCTATACGTCTAGTGTCTGATCTAGTGGCTCATACGTTCTAGTGGTCTGTACATCTAGTGGTCTATACGTCTAGTGGTCTGCATCTAGTGGTCTATACGTCTAGGGTGGTCGTACATCTAGTAGTCTATATGTCTAGTGGTCTGTACATCTAGTGGTCTACATGTCTAGTGGTCTGTACATCTAGTGTCTATACGTCTAGAGGTCTATACGTCTAGTGGTCTATAAGTCTAGTGTTGCATGTCTGGTGGTCTGTATCTATCTAGTGGTCTATACGTCTAGTGGTTATACGTCTAGTGGGGTGGTCTATACGTCTAGTGGTCTATACGTCTAGTGGTCTATACGTCTAGTGGTCTGTACATCTAGTGGTCTATACATCTAGTGGTCTATACGTCTAGTGGTCTATACGTCTAGTGGTCTGTACATCTAGTGGTTTGTACATCTAGTGGTCTATACGTCTAGTGGTCTATACGTCTAGTGGTCTATACGTCTAGTGGTCTGTACATCTAGTGGTCTATACATCTAGTGGTCTATACGTCTAGTGGTCTGTACATCTAGTGGTCTATACATCTAGTGGTCTGAACATCTAGTAGTCTATACGTCTAGTGGTCTGTATATCTAGTGGTCTCAGTAGTCTATACGTCTAGTGGTCTATACGTCTAGTGGTCTGTACATCTAGTGGTTCATACGTCTAGTGGTCTATACGTCTAGTGGTCTGTACATCTAGTGGTCTATACGTCTAGTGGTTCATACGTCTAGTGGTCTGTACATCTAGTGGTATATATCTAGTGGTCTGTACATCTAGTAGTCTATACGTCTAGTGGTCTGTATATCTAGTGGTTCGTAATACTAGTCTAGTCTATGGTCTATACGTTCAGTGGTCTATACGTCTAGTGGTCTATACGTCTAGTGGTCTGTACATCTAGTGGTCTATACGTCTAGTGGTCTATACGTCTAGTGGTCTGTACATCTAGTGGTCTATACGTCTAGTGGTCTATACGTCTAGTGGTCTATACGTCTAGTGGTCTCTGGCATCATGACGTTTTCTCCCCCTGTAAACCAAAGTGGTGGCGCCACACCCCCGTACAAAGCTGATTTCACTTCAAATCCAGTTGCCAGTAATACCGTCCCGCCACTCACGCTCACTCGATGACGTAGAATGAAATCAATGCTCAATATCCCGTCATTCAGTACACTAAAATCCCGGAATATCAAAACGTTTTTTTTTCTACGATAGACAGACTGACAGACAGATAGACATATTGACATAGATATATTCAGTGGAATTCGCCATAAATGTTTACATTGATTCTCTTTTTTTATAAACAGTGTAGGTACCAGGTATGTAATGTAAAAAGACAGTACAGGTTACTAATATACAGTACACAGACAGTACAGGCTACAATATACACAGACAGTACAATACGATCCATGCACTCCTATAGCTCATATACGACTTATATAATTATTAAGAATATGTGAGCAATAATGGTAGTCCCTCGTGTAACGAGGATGGCCAACTCGAGGGCCACCGAGGCGTGAATTTGTTTAAGGTGTAGCAGCTGTCGCCGACACCCTGAGTTAACGAGCTGCATGACCCAGTGTCAAGGATTAGTGCGAAAAGACCGGACAACTCGCCAACTGCACTGGCTTACCATTACCCCGGAATGAGATCCGGAAATCGATTAACATCCAGGTTCCCAATTACTGCTGGGTAGACAGAGGCAAATGGCGTAAAGAAACTTGCCCATAGTTTCACCCTGCCCGGGGATCGAACACGGGTCCACTCACTTGCGAGATGAGCATGCTGACCATTACACCACAGGTAATATGTTTGGTGGCACGACGAAGCCTACATAAGTTCACAGGTATTAAACACTAATTAAACTTGGTAATGAGGAAGAATAACACTAATAAGAGGACATACTTACACGATGACGATACACCAGTTGCCCATACAGCCATTGTGAGTCTCCTGAAATGAAAAGCAAAATAAATCAATTAAATCAACAGAAACCGATAAGTTCACTGTTGTAAGGGAGAGAGAGGGAGAGGGGGAACTTTTCTTACTTGTTTACTGTTTATAGTTTAGAGATTCGGGTGGGAGGGAAGGGAGAAGAGGGAAGGGAGGGTAAGACAAGGAAAGAGAGGCGGGAGAGAGGGAAGGGAAGGGGAGGAAAAGAGCGAAGATACGACATGGAAAAGGAGGGAGAAGAGAAGACGGTAGGGAGAGGAGGAAGCAGAAGTAATGGGACCTAACCTGCCGTGTCTGGTAGGATCACGCTGGGTCATATACTTTCTTCTCGCAACCAACACAACGGGGCATCGAACCCTGGACAGAAAGCTGAACGGCATGCACGATAATGTTGTACCACTGGAAGGAGGGAAGAGGAGGGGTGATAAGGAGGGGGGTGGAGGGGAAGAGGGGTGTGTGTGTGTGTGTGTGTGTGTGTGTGTGTGTGTGTGTGTGTGTGTGTGTGTGTGTGTGTGTGCAGGTAACAAACTACACAACAACACCACACACATACCATCGAAATTTCACCTTGACTTCAGCTTACGCCCGCACACATTCACTCATACGTAT